ATTGGTTTTCATGGATCCTACCTTCAATGAATCTGTCGGAACCTTTTTGTATCAAACGCAGGGCTCCAACTAAAACTGGAATTATTTTTGTATTTATTTGCTGCATTTTTGAGATTTCCATTTCAAGATCCTTGTATTCTGATAGTTTTTTTTTTTTTGAAGATCTTTAAAAATACATTACAAGCTCATCTCAATTGTCATAACTCAGTATTCATATAAAATACAAAATTATTGAAACTTAATTATGTACAATAATTGATCATTTTATAGGTGAACAATTCAAGTAAAAAAATTGAAAATAAATACAATGTATCTAAATACAAATTAGAGACATGTCATAATAGATCATGAGATCTTAAATAAATAAACAATATTTTGCGGCAATTTTTAACATCAACTTGAGATTTTTCTTGTTAAAAACTTAAAGAATGTTAACACATTCAACGTTATCGATAAAAAATATTGAATTTTATATCGTGTCGCTCGGGACTTACCACGAGCAAAACAAATTCACGGATTTGGACAGAAAAACACACTTGAATGACGTCAAAGTCCATGAAAAATGTTAATCCTTTAACAGTCAGTTGTACTTAGATTAATTTGTAACGTATATAAATGTAGGTTAAAAAAACATGTCCATAAAATAGCAAGTGTCACAAAGCACTAGTTGGCCCATGATCAGGGAGTCTCGCACCGGCTATCTTAGTAGTTTTAAGGTGTCAGTTTTTTTTTTTTCATTTCCAGTTGCTTATATTTAAATGTTTTTCAGCACCTCCTCATATTTATATAATTATTTATAACTTCATTTTGTGGATAGACCGCACACAGTGTTTGAGGAAAATAAATTAGAGTAAGGAATCAATACGTTTTATGTCATGTAAACCAGTTAATGAAACTCACGCGAAAAGCTCGTCTTTGTTTTATGAACAAAGCTTGAAGCACAGAGCATCAAGGTTAAAATCTGTTTCAAAACTACAGCATTTGATACTGAAACGAATCAATAGTTTAGGTATCTAGGAAGCAGAGGACTGTAAAGTGTAACACTGAAATCCGAAGGTGCATTGAGATAGCCAAAGATGCCTTCCAGAACCTAAGAAGAGTTTTAAGAGACAGAAAAATGTTGGAAACAAAGAGTACTGAACTGTTACGGTAAACCAGTCCTCGTATATGGCGGTGAATGCTGGACAATCTCCTCACAGATGAAGAGACTTGAAGCAAGAGAAACAAAGAAAAGAGTACTGAACTGTTATGGTAAACCAGTCCACCTATATGGCAATGAATGCTGGACAATTTCCTCGCAGATGAAGAAGAGACGTGAAGCAACAGAAATGTGGTTCTACAGAAGGATGCTGAGAAAGATGTAAGCCACGGCGAAGTTCTGGAGAAAATGGAAACAAAAAGGCACTCACTTTAATATCAGGAAGAGACAGTTGAAATTTCTGGAGTAGATAATGAGGAAAGAAGGCTTGGAAAAATCGATACTCACAGGACAGAATGACGGTAAGAAAGCCAGATGAATGTAACGCACAAGGGTCTTTCCTTGTAGCGGAGGAGATGAAGAGTTTTTTTTCTCCCGTCGAAGTATATGCAGCGGTTGTAGTATCTGTTCCGTGCCGGAGGGACGTCAATAAAAAGAATTTTAACTTACTATTTTATTAAGCACGTCGACGGGTACATCTTCTAACTAACCAATGGGGTCAGTCTCCCACCCCCACTGGGAAGCAAGTTCCGAGACACGAAAAAACACGTCTTCATTTTAAGTCACTGAAATCCCTTTCTATATCTCTCTCATTCCCAGCTTTAGCCAATCAAAATCGACTTTCTTTGTTTTGTCCTCTATCTGACCTCAAAGGTCAAAATGAGGAAGTCAGAAGAGAAATACAATTCTGTAAAAATGATAGTCTGCTAGACGATTATTTAATACATATTGAGGTAATTGTATGACAAAGTTTCAAAGTTTGTTCGAATAAAATAGGAATCAACATCCGTGTCGCGAAGGCTACTTTAGCTTTCAGTCTGGCAATAACCCATGGATAATAGGAAAATAATATAAGCTAGCTGTTTATAATAATTAGACAATTCTGATTTGGAATTTGATCACCTTGCTGTCAGCGAACGATGACTGATAATTCTTTTTACTTTCAGTTTTTTTTTTGTCTTTTAACTTTTTAAAAAACATAATTTTTCATCTTCTAATGATCGCACGAAACACAAAAGCACAAAAAATCAAAGTGGGTTATGATGAGTACGCAATAATGACTATCTGATTTGGTTCGACTGATCCTGAGCAGTTGCCAAAGCATCGAATATTCAGCCATCAAAAACATTATTCAGTGTCCTCCAACCCGTACACAGTTGAATAAATGCTGCTGCCAGCCATGTGCGTCATTGGTCGTCGAGGATTTTATTAAATTGTTGGATGGATTGCATGTTGTGATAACAAGACCAGATTGACATAGTGACGCTGTCAACAACAGCTTTTTGCATAGTTTCTAAATATTATCATTGTTTTCGCTTCTCTCTCTCTCTCTCTCCCTCTCATCATCCTTTTATTTATTTACAATCATATATATATTATATATATATATATATATATATATATTTGGGTGGATTGATGTCAGTTTCTGAGCCTGGGTTTCACGCTTTTGTGATCGTCAGAGTTTGTCTGACGATCGCAAAAACGTGAAACCCAGGGTCACAAACTCACATCTATCCAACCAAATATGTTAGCTCTATCTCTGATATTAAGCGCTTTCTAATAAGTACCGCTTATATAATATATAAATGATAATATATATATAATATATTACACACATACACACACACACACACACATATATATATATATATATATATATATATATATATATTTGAGGTAACGGTATATATTTTTATATCTCAAGAGCAGTATTGGGGTAATTGTATGGCAAAATTTACTCGTGGAGCGTTTCGTTCTTCAGGGCTTCATCGGACTAAATTTATTACGTTGGTATGACTACACATGCGCACGAACGAGGGATGCTGGTAATTTTAGAATTTTTATTTTTATTATTTATATCTAACCGAATTCATTTAGAGTCTTTTTCTTTTTCTTTCTATCACTTTTTAAAGTAGGTATTCCACACTGTGATATTAGAAGATCTGCCAGTAATAGTGAAATATAAGAGACAAGCTGCAAATTTACTGTAGATGACCTTGAGATTGAAGCACTCTAGACATTTACGTTGTAGCGAATTATAATGGACTATTCTGTTTTGATAAACAAAACATCAGAAACACTACTTTGGCTCAGAGAGAAAATAAAAAAAGAAAACAAAAGGAAAGACGGAATTGTTTAACGTCTGTTTCAGTGAAATGGAAAAAATTGTAAATTTCAAATCTTTTCCTTTGTTTCCACTTCTTAAAATAGCGACCAGAAAATCTTTCATGATTGTTACTACACTAATTTGTTAAAAGTTATTAAGCTCAAATATTTAACGATGCGATAGGGGAATTTCTATGGGCATTTTATTGTCGTAGAATTCACCATGAGCTTATCCAATCATTAACTGAAGAATTAAGATTCACCAGAAAATTAGAATATGAAAACTGTTAAATTTTCACGGTTCTTTCTCGTCATATAATAACTGCTTGTTCTTCCCTTCGTTATTTCGCACAACCGTTATGCCTTGCCAATACCACTTTCGTCTTCATCGCATGGAAAGAGGAGGAAAGATACTACTTGGTTTCATTGAGGAAACGAAAGCAGGAAAGAGAGAAAGGAAGATAGAAGAGGGGAAAGAGAAAGATTAAGCTGATAAGAACAGATACTACACTTTGATCTTAGTGAAAAGGCCTAGAAGATGAAAGAAAGAAGGAAAGATAGAAGTGAAGAGAGAGAATCAGATGAAGCTGATAAGAACAGATACTACACTTTGATCTTAGTGAAAAGGCCTAGAAGATAAAAGAAAGAAGGAAAGATAGAAGTGAAGAGAGAGAATCAGATGAAGCTGATAAGAACAGATACTACACTTTGATCTTAGTGAAAAGGCCTAGAAGATAAAAAAGAAAGAAGGAAAGATAGAAGTGAAGAGAGAGAATCAGATGAAGCTGATAAGAACAGATACTACACTTTGATCTTAGTGAAAAGGCCTAGAAGATAAAAAGAAAGAAGGAAAGATAGAAGTAAAGAGAGAGAATCAGATGAAGCTGATAAGAACAGATACTACACTTTGATCTTAGTGAAAAGGCCTAGAAGATGAAAGAAAGAAGGAAAGACAGAAGTGAAGAGAGAGAATCAGATGAAGCTGATAAGAACAGATACTACACTTTGATCTTAGTGAAAAGGCCTGAAGAAAGAGAAAGATGAATGATAAAACAGATACTACACTTTGATCTTAGTGAAAAGGCCTAGAAGATGGAAAGAAGGAAAGACAGAAGTGAAGAGAGAGAATCAGATGAAGCTGATAAGAACAGATACTACACTTTGATCTTAGCTAAAAGGCCGAGAAGAGAAGGACAAGTACAATTATAATAGAATGATTGTTATTGCAATATTTTGTTAAAAGTTAAGCTCAAATATTTAACGGTGCGATAGAAGAATTTCCACCGATATTTTATTGCCATAGACCTCGCCATAAGCTGATACAAACATTAACTTAAGAATTAAGATTCATCATTAAAATAGAAAAGCCGTTAAATTTTTGCGGCTCTTTCTAGTTAATATTTACATTTTACAACGATCAGTTTTCAATCCGTGCTTGACGATTGCCACGTGCATGAAACTCAGCGCTACTTCAAACGGAAGGGGGGATGAATGTATATTTGTTTTTATTATGAATTTTGGTTTTCGTTGTTTTACACTGAGCCCTGTTTTATTATTACTACTTAATGTACGCTATTTTATATTGATATTTCTCAATTTCCTTTTCCAGAGACGTTACTGGCATACCAATATAGTGCCTCTTAGTATTTTTTTAAAGGCATAAACAATGAGTTTTTCTCTCTGTTTATTTTTTCAGTCTGCAGCCAGAAGAGCAGGAACCAGTTGTGCAAACTGTGGCACAACTACAACAACATTATGGAGACGAAACCAAAATGGCGATCCTGTATGTAATGCGTGTGGACTCTACTTCAAACTTCACAACGTAAGTCACATTTTTTTTTTTTTAAATTAACAAATCTTCTCGTAAACGATTATTTAAATTTATTCTAAAATGACTTCTCCGAAGATGAAAACAAAAAGATTCTAATAAATTTCAGTTTAATTCTATTGCCCTTTATTGCATATTAGCTCACATACGTCTTAGTGGCTTTGTTACCTTGCTTCAAGTGAAATGATATAAAAAAAAAACTCCCAAGATTGATTTTTACTAAACAATAGAAGTAGGAATTAAACAAAAGATTTATTCTATATTTTCGACCTGTACTGCCTACTTCACGATCGTAGAATAACGACCTGGCACCTGCAATTAAAGCCAACATCAATAGGATAAAAGAAAATAATGTTTGGTATAATAAGAATTATGGATTTTTTTTTTGTGAGATTTCAAGTGGAAAGTGTTATTTACTAATGTTAATGGCAATATAAATAAATAATAAGTTTGATCCTCAGTGGGAGCTCCGAACTTTCGGCCTTGTGCCGCATCTAAGCTACGCTTAATAAATTGCTAATAATACTTGTCTTACTTTTAATGGTCACCTTTCTCAATATCTTATCGTTATAAAATAGTCTGGCTGGAGGAAGTAATTCCTAAAATGTGATCTATACACATTTTTACTAACTGTTTGTACTTGCCATATGGGGTTTCCTGGGTGTCATTTTACGAGCCGTAATATGGTAAAGACGTTAGCTTTTCTTTTAAAAAAAAATAACTTACTTCAACTACGATCTCTGCTGAGTGCAGGTGGATTTTTTTTTTTTCGTGTGTGTGTGTGCTGGGTCATGTGGAACGCCTACATGATTTTCTCTTAACTCATTTTTTGGTTGCTTGTCACCAGTGTCTTTTAATGGCTTCATCCATCATCTTCATCTTCGACTATCTTGCCACTAGAAGAGTCATGTCTGTCAGCCTTTTGACAAAGCCCCTTTTATTTTTGTCTTAGCCGGGGAAACATAAACTCAGTGTGTGTGTGTGAGTGTGATTTGTCAATTTCGTTATTTTGTACTCCCACGTCGAAACTTATTTAACGCAACAAATATCTTGTAACCTTTTTGTCAGTGTACTTAACCGAAAATTTCTGTTATATATTCCCGGGATATAATAATATTATAGAATGAAGATATCAGCTCAAAAATCAGTTAATAACTGTATCTGTATACGAAACCCATTGGTCAATCCACGTACGGGATCATAGTCATTCTTCGCCAGGGCTATGTATAGTTTTTGAATTTAGAGTTGTTGTTCTCCTAGACTGGTTGCTAGCCAAGGCTGAAAAGCCAGGATGTCCTACTATTTACCCATAGTTTGAGATTTTGAATTCAGAGTTGTCCTTCTCCTAGATATGTTGCCACTAAGTTTGTCCTGCTATTTACCTATAATTGGGTGGGGGTAGATGGATTTATACCTTTCCCAAGAGTATTTGCATTTTTCTATCTTTCATTGTACCAAATAGTGCGAGTCGGTGGGATATCGATGTCAGTGCGACGTTGGTCAGGTGCCATATCCCGCCACCGCAGTGGAAGGTCGTGTAAACCGCAAGTTTTCCTTATCTCAAATTGTACTTATAAGGAAACATTCGACATTCATTAACCGTAAAGACGGTGCTGCTGTCGGTTGACATAAATAAAATCTTATAGGTTCCCCAAGGTGATTAACTGTTATCGCTCTTTCTAGTATCAGTGGGGGTTTCTTTCCTAACCTTTTGTTTGAAGTGGTGTGGAACGTCAACATCTTGATCATGTCATCAGTTTCGCTTTGAGCTTCATGAGATATCGATCCTAGTTGTCAATGCAAGTGATGTGGTTTTTGTTAGTCTGTATGGCTAGTCCACGAAGTCCGAAAGTGGGGTCCGCGATGTCCGAAGGGGGGTCCACGAAGTTCGAAGGTGTGGCTTAAAGGGTTGATTCGTTGAAAGCTATTTGTAATCATTGATCTGGATAAATGAATCTTTTTTTTTCTTCTTCTTCTTTTTTAAAGCTATCTTTGTACATTTGGGAATAGTAACACTTACAAGCATATGTCACACGTAAGGCATCGAGGAATCAATCCTTTGCAGGTGTTTATTATACTGTTTGAATATTTTAAGTTGGCGAAAATAGAAATTGCTAAAAAAGAAACAGTGGAGGAGAAATCGTTTTAAAAGGCAAACAACGATGTTTTGATTTCATGGCGTTTTTTAATTAACTAGCTTTTTCGCTTGCTGGAATAGTCCAGAAGTAATGAGTGGCGACCACCGGAAGTGTGGACATAGGCTTTGTAATGAGTGGCGACCACCGGAAGTGTGGACATAGGCTTTGTAATGAGTGGCGACCACCGGAAGTGTGGACATAGGCTTTGTAATGAGTGGCGACCACCGGAAGTGTGGACATAGGCTTTGTAATGAGTGGCGACCACCGGAAGTGTGGACATAGGCTTTGTAATGAGTGGCGACCACCGGAAGTGTGGACATAGGCTTTGTAATGAGTGGCGACCACCGGAAGTGTTGACATAGGCTTTGTAATGAGTGGCGACCACCGGAAGTGTGGACATAGGCTTTGTAATGAGTGGCGACCACCGGAAGTGTGGACATAGGCTTTGTAATGAGTGGCGACCACCGGAAGTGTGGACATAGGCTTTTATGTAATGAGTGGCGACCACCGGAAGTGTGGACATATTACAAAGCCTATGTCCATTTTCGGTGGTCGCCACTCATTAAAAAGCCTGAGTGGCGACCACAAAGCAACAGTCTACGCTGCTATTTAAATCGTAGCTGTGAATTGCTGATTTTCTTTCCTAAAGTTATTACAGACGAGCGGATATAAAATATCTCAGCCGGGATTTGAACCCGACTTGCCCATTTCATTTTTCACACTGCTGATCATTAGTCAACTGCAACTCTTCCCAGGAAACAAGAACAAATTTTTGTTAACTTCGGTCCACAATCGGAAAATTTTACAAATTGAGACTGTAAATGTCTATATTTCTGAGATGAGGTATTATGTACACTATTTACATTATTTGGACTATTGTCCTCATCTTTGTCGCCATATTTATTACAACGTATTGGTCCTTCAGTATCTGTCTATATTTCTAAGATGAGGTATTATGTACACTATTTACATTATTCGGACTATTGTCCTCATTTTTGTCGCCATATTTATTACAACGTTTCGGCCGTTGTATGCTCCGGCCTTCTTCAGGTGGTTGGAATGTTGATATAGGGTTCAGTTATCATTCCAAGCACCTGAAGAAGGCCGGAGCGTACAACGGCCGAAACGTTGTAATAAATATGGCGACAAAGATGAGGACAATAGTCCGAATAATATAAAGAGCAAAACTGTAAATGGTGAACAATTCGAATAGGATCATACAGTATATTGTATTGTTTAATCGTTCTTTATTTTAACGAAGAGAATATGAAAGCAATTCATCCCCTCTCTCTCAAAATAATAAAAAAGATAAAAACTGGGAATATATATATATATATATATATATATATATATATATATATATATATATATATATATATATATAAACTGATGAGGAAATCCATAGACAAAGAAAAAAAAGGTTGGTAAATGAGCGATTCTCATAAAATGTTGGCTGATGTTAAACTGACAGAAAGTAGTTTCTGTCAATACTTCCTTCATTTTGATTATGTTTTGTTCATTTTATTACGATTACTTTTTTGTTTTTTTGTTTAACAGATATTTATTCTTAGCTTGTCTGGCTCTGTTAACGAAAAGCTAGCATAATAATGCTGTCAGAAGCGGTTAGTTGATATCTGCTTATGCTGATGGAAAGAAGTGTACTATGAAACTTTCGATATTGATACATGTCAAAAGCTATTTGTAGAAATATACGTCTTTCAATTCAGCCATAACGTTGAGTAGATGACGCGCATGCGCACGCGACGCACACGCTAGAAATCTTTCCAAAGTGCAACCGGGCCGGTGAATACAGCTTGTCGGGTGAGTGTCTCTGTGGGACACCAACAGCATTATTCGGAAAGAGCAGAAATGATCTCCATTCTTCAGTTCTCTTTATGGGACACACAAACGCAACCCCCAGTCTTACGATTTAATATAATAGGCGATATGTACCGCGCCTATTTTTCTTCTTTTTTTCCCCCCAATCCGCAGACAATCATGTCTCTTCACAGATTCATTTTTTTTATTATCTGTGAATTGCCATGATTTATTGAGAAAGATAGTGGAGTGGTTTGTCGTTATCTTCTCTGTCCTGGATATGACGATAAACTACGTCCGCGTCCTGGGTAAGACGATAAACTACATCCGCGTCCTGAGTAAGACGATAAACTACGTCCAGCAGCAAAGCCTCTGATCAGGTTTTGGGGAGCGTGGAACCACCTCTTAATTGCTGATCTTCCCAGCTCCGCCCAGACCCGGGGTGGTAGCACCTGTTAGGGTCCCAGCTATGGGAAGTAGTTAACTACGAAACTGAGGTAAAAACTCTATGAAAGTGTAAAATAGGTTTTAATACCAGAAATACTTTGTAAAATATTGTTACCAGTAATAAATGTTTGAAGAAAAACAAACTATTACCAGCAATACATTTAAAAAAAATATTACCAGCAATACATTTAAAAAAAATATTACCAGCAATACATTTTTGAAGGAAAAATATTACCAGAAATAGATTTTTGACAAAACACAATATTACCAGCAATAAAAATTTTGTCGGCATTAAATAACCCATTGAGGTGTCGATATGCCGTAAAACAAAATAAACCAAACCAGTTATCTTCTCTACGGTTTTAAATGCCATGCCTCTTCAGGACGTAGATGATCATGGCTCTTAACACGTTCCTTTTTTTATGATCTATGAAATTCTGATTTCTTGGGAAAGACAGTTCAATGGTTTCTTGTCTTCTCTAAGGAAATAACTTTCTTGCATAAATTCGTCTGTCCATGCGGTTAATTGTCTCATAAAACATTTAGGGAGAATGCATTCCTTTTTATGCTTCTTGGTAATCAATTTCTGCTTCAAGATGTTGCCGACCTCTGTAAAGAATCTGAAACGAATTAAGACCTTCAACGCTATTTGAAATTGGTTGATTTGTTTTTATGGCTTATCAACCCTTTGCAGGTTACTTAAAGCCTGAAAATATTTTTAGATTCTATTGGCCAAGCTCGACGTTGCTTAACTTCGGTGATCGTACGGGGGATCGGTGTTTCAACGTGATATGGCCATAAGATCTTTAGGCCACCCGCACATCCAAGTTTACAGTACTTGGTATTCCCAAGCGGTCACCCATCTAGTTACTAATCAGGCTTGACGTTGCTTAACTTCGGTGGTCGTACGAAATCCGGTGTTTCAACGTGATATAACCATAAGCCCTTCAGACCACCCGCATATTATGTTTACAGCACTTCGTATTCCTAAGCGGTCACCCATCTAGTTACTAATCAGGCTTGTCGTTGCTTAACTTCGGTGGTCGTACGAAATCTGTTAGACATGGAAGCCATGCGCTTAGTGACTCTAGTTTAAAAAAAAAATAAAATAAAAATTTTTTAAATATAAAAATAATTGCTGACTTACTCTTCAAGGCGCATTAGTACGCCCGGGCGCACCGGTTGAGAAAAACGCTGCTCTAGTCCGACGCGATGTCACGTCCTTAGTCCGATAGACAGGCATGCCTGGGTCACCATCTGACTTTCCACCCCCATGCTCCCTTAAACAATCAGTGTCCTTTCGTATTTAGTTTGATTTACAGAAACGAAATGACTCACAGTAGAAAAGTAGATCTGCTTTTCTCTCAATAAAACCCTTCCATTTCGCTTCTGTCGAAAGCACCTCCCTCCCAACCTTCTATTTCTTTAACTACTGTCTCTTGTCTTTGCTTTGCAATGCATTCCAGTGGAACTTTGCCTATTTTCATCCTCATCAACAAAGTGATCTATAAACACAACTGTCAGAAGAAAATCCTCGCCATAAAATACGTACTTTAATGCCCTATACACATAAAAAATACACCATATATTTCATTGAATTTCTTGTTGCCGTCATTCATTTCTTTCTCTTTCCCTCTCTTGTTTCATTTGACACCGTTAACGCGAATGGTTCTCCACAGCTTTCTGTTATGGTCACTCATAATTCACATACATATTTTAAACAACTTTATTTTAAAGTGACAATGAAAAAAAAAAAAAAAAAACTTGTTGTGTATTGCGAAAACAAGATCTCTTGCGGTTACAAAGAAGCAAATGGGAGTAGATAGGTTCGCCTATTGTCCGGCTCACTCTCCTCCCGGTCTTTTGAACAGGGACATATCCCATGTTTCCTGTTTAGTATTGGGTTTCCAGTTTATAGCAGTCTTCTCATTCTCTTTTAACTTCTAGTATCTTAGTGGCATTATCGCCTTGCTGAGTAAAAAAAAAAAAAAGAAAAAAAGAAAAGAATATCTGTCCCATAATAGTTGGTACATTTAGTGTATGAAATATGTAGGCAAATGGAACAATTATTATGGGACAGAAGTAGTATTATGTAATGACATACTACCTCTATCCCATAATAATTGGTACATTTAGTATATGAAACGTGAAGGAAAATGGAAAAAATATTATGGGACAGAAGTAGTATTATATAAATAATAATAGATAACATCTGTCCCATAATGGTTGGTACATTTAGTGTATGAAATGTGTAGGCAAATGGAACAATTATTATGGGACAGAAATAGTATTATATAAATAATAATAGACTACCTATGTCCCATAATAGTCGGGGACACTTAGTGTATGGAATGTGTCTGTTTGCGGAACCATAAGTCCATGGTTGCCGACTCGTTCTAATTTGCGCTTCTGTGTCTCCAACGCTTCTGGAACGAATTTATTATTTATATTAATGACTGTTCATCCTGGACAAACTACAGAAGACAGACACACACCTGTACCCGCAACGGCTACGAATGTCTGCGTCAGTCTTGACCGACGTAATGGCGACCGAAAGAGTCGAATATGGCAGACATTTCAATGCATGTTAACAATGTTTGCCGCCATCGAGTGCCACAACACATTATCAACGAGAAGTGGTTGGTGTCTGTGATGACCAGCTCACCAGTACCGAAATAAAGAATTCTAAACGTGGAATGTTAGAACATCACGTGATCAACTGTCGACTAGTGTGTGATTCGTGTCAATCTGCTATTTATGATTAATAGAAAATAATAGAGCAGGAAGGAGAGTGTGTCGGTCGAAGTACTTCTATGCTAAGAAGATCTTTTTTTTTTTTTTTTTTCCTGTGTTGTGTCTGTTCGGGTGTCGATGATAATCTCTGTCTTCTAAGCAGAGTTTTTCTTCTTAGCATCCCTACCAATCTGCGCTTCACCAACCATTTACGCAAACTTCTTAGGTAGATATACTCGCTGTTTTCCCAATCCGTCTCTGTTGCATTCAATATGTCCTCTGAGTTTCATGTTCTCCAAGCCTTCTCCTCTAATTATAATGTTCTAGAAATTTCAACTGTTTTTTTTTTTGGTTTCTAATTCTACACGTACTTGTCGTTCATAAACTCTCTCGTTGATAGGCTTAAGCATGGAACAAAACGCTGCATTATTTACATTAGTCGGACTATTGTCCTCATCTTTGTCGCCATATTTGTCACAACGTTTCGGCCGTTGTACGCTCCGGCCTTCTTCAGGTGGTTGGAATTTCGAACTGAACCCTTTATTTCGATCACTGGGGTAGACTGTTCTAATTCCACGTGCTATGTTTGATGGATGTCAGTTATCAGTTATCTCCTGCTAATTTTCCCTCTGAAAGTTCTCCACTGCCTTAACCAGGAATTGAACTCACCTTCTTTGGGTCTGTCACTGGATCTAATCAACGCCTTTATCCACTGTGCCATGTGTCCTAATGTAAATACTGTACATAATACCTCATCTCAGAAATATAGACAAACTCAAAACGCTGCATTTATTGCTATTTAAAGAAAGGGTACTTCTGGGGGTTATTGGCATGTGGCTGAGTGGTTAAAAACGTTTGCTTTCTGACCATGAGACCAGGGTTCGAATCTCACCATGGTTGATTTGTCAGGAAGGAGACTTCCTTATGTTATCAGACTGGAGGGGGTAGGTCGCAGTGTACAGCACCTTTGGAATGTGCCTGAAAAACCATACCGCGGGTTAACCCGAGCCTTGTGAATAAAACTGGATAGACGCAACTAGTTCTGCTAGCATTGTCACAAGTCATCGTAGCCGAGGGTTTGCCCTTGTTCAAATTGTTGATCACGCTAGATAACGCGCTCTTTCCCAGAAATTGTAACTACGGTCTCTTCAGCACAGGTGCAGTTTAAATCATAGGTGGACTCTGTGGGCGTTGAATAAATACAAATGCGCCTGAGCAAGCGTCTGCTATAAGGAATGGCTGGCCGCCCTAGTAGACGGATGTTCTCGAATATGAGTGGCCAGTTATACTATATAATTTTATGGTTGGGAGGCTGTATATAGACCTTCCACGCACTCCAGAAACCGGAAGTTTAAAAAATAACGTCTTAAAGATTTACACTTGTCTGCTATAGCGAAAATTTGTCGGCAGGGGACTGGCATGCTATTATTGGGCGTAACGTACATGTTAAGAAATAAGCAGAATAATAAGCTGATGTTTATTGTTATTTAAAGAATGAGTACATTGTGGGGTATATATAGACATTCAATGCACTCCAGAAGCCGGAAGTTTAAGAAACTTACCGGAAGTTTTAAAAACAAAGTCTTTGAGATGGGAAGGGGACGAGCAAGCTATTTCGAGGTGTAACGTACGTGCTATGAAACCAGTAGAAGTTTAATCTGATATTTGTGTTCCTATTTATTTTTGTTTTCCAATTTCTTAATCGTCTCTATTTTGTCTTTTCTTTTGTTTTACAGGTGAATCGACCCCTCACGATGAAGAAGGACGGAATACAGACGAGAAACAGGAAGATGTCGACTAAGAGTAAGAAAAGTAAAAAGGGAATGACTTCGATGAGTGACCTGCTAAAACCACTGGACAAGCCGTTCCCAGGCTCCGTGTATGCTCCAATGCACGCCCCCATGGCGACCTACATGACTAGTGGAAGCTCCCTTGGGGGATCGTTCTCCTCCCCCGTCGGAAGTCACATGCAAGCATCTTCCGGTTTGTCTGGTAGCCTGTCTGGTGGCTTTACCAATTCCTTCAATCCGTCACTCACCTCTCAGTTCACGTCGTCATTCCCCAGCATCCCTAGTATCCCTAGTATCAGTTCGTCGGGACTCACTTTATCCACTTCGTCAGGAATGGTTGGTGCCATGACGTCCGGCCTCAACCTCTCTACCACAACAAATATGGTTGGAGCTATGGCATAAAAAAATACAAAAGACAACAAAAATTTTAGAACTTTAAGGAAAAAAACAAAAACAAAACAACAAAAAACAAAACAACAAAATATTATTATAAAACAAACCTTTTTTTCTTCTCGGTCTGAATAATTTTCTTTGACAAGAATTTAATCAAGAACACTCCCCCACCCACTCACCCAGAGAGTTATATGCTTTTTGGATATACAACTCTTCACAGGCGTATTTTATTATTCTCCCTACAAATGAAGTCTTATAGCGGTGATGTGGGGCTCGAATCATCTTTTAGCAAATAAAATAATTGATTAAAAAAAATATATAAATAAATGAAAAATGCGCTTTCATTTTTTTTTTTTTTAATTTACCACAATAAGATGCTTTTGTGTATATTTGACAAGTATCATGATATTATATAGACAAAAAAAAGAGGTGAATATAGCAGTTTATATGAATATTCTTAAAATTGGACGCTTAAACAGCGAATATATCAATCCCTGGGCATCTCCATATATAAAGTCAAGGGTAAATATGGAATAGAAGTCTGTCTTTCCAGACGATCGTCTTTTGCTGTATATTCTTTCCATCTGTCCATATTCTTTGGTCAACCCAAATAGAATTGAACTGTAAAAATGAAAACCATCTGTAGAAGAGTAAAATGGACTAAGACAACGATTAAAGAATACAACTTGTAAAAGAAAACAGAATTATATAACTGAAAAAAAAAAAAAAAAAAAAAAAAAAAAAAAAAAACAAAAACGCCGCCAAATATTTTCCCCAGCAAACTAGTAAAAAAAAAAAAAGAAAGAAAAAAGAAAGAAAAAGGTTAATGATGACGTGCTGTCAATGACGGATATTTGAAGTGGTTGCAATGTACAGATTCATCTCTCAGTCGAAGAATATGAATACTTTTCGGTAAAAAGTAGACATTGAAAATATAGTCTTACATTATTGTCTCTCTCTCACTCGTTCTCTTGAATAGAGAAGGCGACAAAAAAACAGTACATTTTCACGTTCTTTTCGTAAAAAACAAAAAAAAAAAACAAAACAATAAAAAAACACACACACAAAAATCCCCCAAAAAACAAAAACTGTTGTCTTGCTTTGACTGGAATGCTTTACATTTTTTATTCTGTCCTTTTTATTCGAAAAAGGAAATAAAATGGTTTTATGTCTTTAAAAAAAAAAAAAAAAAAGGAGAGAGAAAAAGGAAAGAGAACGAAAAACCAGAAAATGAATTGAAAATATTTGAAGTCGAAAAGACAGAAATAAATCTAAAGAAGAACATTTGTAAGAAAAAGAACATCAGAAAGAAGAAAAAAAAAAGGACAATCATATATGTAAGTTAGAGACGAAGTTGAATAACACTTATCTCCAAATATGTGTATTGATGTGTTTACACAGATATATTTCTTGTTCTGTTTATCTTTAATAACATGCTCTTGTCAATTTCTTTCCTTAAAACTATACTTTCAGCTTTCTTTAAAATTCTTAAATTTTTTGCCTCTTAAAACAGCAGAGACGCTGCAACGTCGATGGTATAAGAAGTCTTTTTTTTTCATTTAACGGATCAATTTCCTGTTTTTAGACTTGGCTACCGACCGTTTTTATTCCTGAAGCAGTTAAAAAGGTTGATTTTTTTTTTTTTTTTTGTGTGCTAACCAGCATTGATAATAAAGTAGTAAGTCCTGGAAAGACTTCAGTCAAAACTCACGACAGAGATTCCCTTGTAAAAAAAAAAAAAAAAAGAAAAAAAAAATTCCAAGAAACAGCGAGCTTCAATGTGCGATTTTTTTTTTATGTTTCATATCAATGGTGGGGTATCTTTGTACAAAAGCGAAACACAGCATATAAGATATAAATATATAACATGAACGTTTTTCCCTTTCATCCGCCCCTAATTTCCACCTCTTTGATTTCATTGGTTAAAGGAGATTGGAATAAATTTCCAAACAAAGTATAAATCACTATTTTATATCCGTGAAAGAGTGAAGAATGTTTAAACAAACCTTATTCATAAAGGAATTCTCATTAAAAAAAAATAATCATAAACTACTGTCCCATAATAATTGTTACATTTATTGTACAAAATGTCTATACAAATGTAGCAGATATTATGGGACATATAGTACCCATTATGGTTTTAAAGGACATTATGTTCCACTTGGAAATTTAAAAAAAATGTGATAGAAATTTGTTTTGAATTATTTGGAAGTTTTATTCAGCATTGATTTTATACTACCTCTGTCCCATAAAAACTGTTACATTTAGTGTATGAAATGTATAGGCAAATGGAACAATTATTATAGGACAGATGTAGTGTTATATGAATAATAACAGACTACCTCTGTCCCATAAGAATTGGTACATTTAGTGTATGAAATATATACTGAAATGGAACAATTATTATTGGACAGAAGTCCTATTATATAAATAATAATAGACTACCTCTGTCCCATAATGGTTGGTACATTTGGTGGATGAAATGTTTAGGCAAATGGAACAAACATTATGGGACAGAAGTTTTATAAAACTATCCCATGATAGTTGTGACATTTATTGTATGAAAGATGTATACAAATGGAACAATTATTATGGGACAAAAGTAGTAATATATAAATAATAATAGACTAACTCTGTCCCAAATAGTTGGTACATTTAGTGTATGAAATGAGTAGGCAAATGGAACAATTATTATGGGACAGAAGTAGTATTATATAAATAATAATAGACTACCGCTGTCCCATAATGGTTGGTACATTTAGTGTATGAAATATGTAAGCAAATGGAACAATTATTATTGGACAGAAGTAGTATTATACATTAATATCGTACCTCTGTTCTATAATAATTGTTATATTTAGTGTATGCAGATAAATGTAACAACCATTATGGGACAGACAGTAGTATAATAATATCCAAACCAAAATTTAACTTACTAATATAGATTTAATTAAAACTAAAAAAAAAAACTGAAGCAATATTGGTAAATTTCTTCAAAATCCTAATTTGCTTTAAAACTGAACTAAAACGTCCTTTTTAAATCTATTTTCTTTCTAGTAATACGGGCTTAAATCTTTCTGTCTGGCTTACATAAATTTACCGAATATTCATTTTAGATAATTCCAAATAATTTCTTCTGATAAATTCAGCTGTTAAAAGCTGAGAAGAAAAAACAAAAAAGAAAAAAAAAAGCTCTAAATTTTCAAAAGAACGAAATTTTGTACATTCTATACTCATTTACGGGTATTTTTCAGTATGACGAAACTTCTCAGCAAATAATGTTTGCCATCCCATATTGGGTAAATATGTTTAAAAAAAATGAATCAATAATTGGAATATCTTATCCAATTTATGTACAAAAGAAATGTGAAAAACAAAAAGAAACAAAAAAGAAAAAAAGTTAAAAAACAAAACCAAAAAACAAATTTGATAAATTCTGTCGTGTATACAGTCACAGCTTTCTGGTAGTTTGGTCTTTTTGGAAAGAAAATCTCAAAAAAAAAATATTTGATCAACTGATTTCTCTTTAAAAAATGAGACAAGTGTGAGTTCCGCGATCACAGAAATGAGATTTTAAACACATATATATATATATAACATATATATATATATATATATATAAGCAACAGGAAGATACTAGATGTTCCCCTTCATAAACATTGCAGTATATTTGTACAAAGTATTTATTGTTAACGTAGACCATTTGACAATTGAAAATGATGACTTAATCAACTCTTGTGTTGTTGTGCGCACCAGTTTCTTTTCAATTATTTCTTATAGAATGTGTATATTGAGCAGAGATCTCTAATGTATAAAATGTCTTTGATGGAAAATCTTTATTACAAAAAAATAAAATAAACAAAAACAAAGGTAACAAGGAAACTGTGTCGATTAACCTTGGCTACTAATTAATACCTACATTTGAACCCTTTCTCCCAGGCAAATAGAATTCAATTTTTAAAAAAAAAGAATGAAAGAAAAGAACCTGGTGTAAAAATATCAAGTTTATAAATGTCTAGACTTTTTGATATTGATTTACGAAATTCCAAGTTCTATAAAAAAAAAAAAAAAAAAAAAATGAAAGAAAGACGCCAAAAATATAGTTTTAATATTCTTAAGTGCCAGCCACAATTACATATATAATTTTTCTTCTCGGAAATCTTTTAGGGAATTTGCAAGCTAAAGTTTACCTGAAATTTATAATTCTGAGTTTTAACATTTTTTGAACACATTGACTTGCCAACCAGGAGTTATCTTGTCTTAGTGGGACGCCGTCTGCCTGTTCTTTCGAAAAATGGCATTTTCTGATCTGAGGACGCCAACAACCACTTTTATTCGCAGTGATACGTTTAGTATGAAAACAACATTAAGATTTCAGTCGAAGATATGAATCAATTCGTAAAATTATTTCACTGCCTAAATTGGCTATTTTAAAGTTGGTGTTTTAAGTCAGATTCCATCATTGACCTCTTCAGGTCAACGTGTTAAAAATGTAGCAAATTTAATTTAAACTAAAAATGACACCACAGAATCAGATATTTAAGCATTTTCAAATATTTATCAATATACGTCCAAGAATTAAAATTAGGCGATTGATATGAGTAATATTATTCAAAAAATAGATATATAGTCTATAATATTTTAAATCAAAGTATTTATAGTTTAAAAACTGTTTTAGAGTTTACAAGCCTAAAACTTATTTTTGACAAACAATTTCTTCTAAATACTCTTTCTATTTTTGGAAATAAAAATAAAAACATGATTTTAGTTAAAATGAATGTAGATATAAGATTTATTTATTATTAATTTGATTACTTTTAACAGCTGTCATCCGAATTAATTATGTATAGTGATTTTACTTGTATTTATATACACCTGGCTCAGGTAAGTGACAACTCCAAGAGTTCACTGAATTCGCTATAAACTATTTGGGGAGACCAGTTACATTTTTCACGGTCATTAGAAATAAATAAATAAGGAATAATCTAATCATTTTAGCACTTGCTTTT